CCAAACCATCGTCTTTCGCATTGATGGGTTTAAACTTGACCAATATGGACTGCCTTCCCCTACCGAGACACTTTCGATATACTCCAATGCGAAATTTACCAGAGAAATGAACTATGACCTGCCGCAACTGAGTTCGTATGTTAATGAGATGGCGCTACGCCGAACAGATGAACAAAGACTAGTATATAAAAATGTTCTTTCCGGTGTAAACGGTCAATCCAAATTGTTTTTCCTAGATGCTCCTGAAGGCACTGGAAAGACATTCTTAATACATTTGCTGCTCGCCAAAGTTAGGAAGAAATCAAAGATCGATCTTGCAGTAGCTTCGTCAGGCATAGCTGCCACTCTACTTCTAGGTGGAAGAACGGCTTACACCACATTCAAAATTCCAATCAATGTCGACAATATGGAAACTCCAATATGTTCTATTTCAAGGAAAAGTCCTCTGAAACTTACACTAGTGCACAGTACCTTGACCAGGAGGAGAGGGGGGGCCACTGTATTTTTTTCTGGAGATTTCCGACAAATTTTGCCAGTTGTTACCAGGAGTACTAGGGTTGATGAGGTAAACGCGTCATTAAAAAGATCCTTTTTTCGGCCATACATTGATCGTTTATCTCTTACAGCTAACATGAAAGTTCGGCTTGGCAATGAGACCGCGGTTCTCTGATCTGCAACGGTACACGGCTCAAAGCTTTGCACACAAAATTATAAAAGCAGATTTAATGACTGGGTGCGAAACTGGAGAGTCCGTATTTATACTACGAATACCTTTGTTTCCAAGTAACTACCCATTTCATTTTAAACGGTTGCAGTTTCCTGTCAGCGTCTGCTTTGCCATGACTGTGAACAAGTACCAAGACCAGACTCTGTCAACTGAACGATTGAAGTAAGTGAAACCAAATGCTTCTCCCATGGTCAACTCTATGTGCTTGCTCTAGAGTCAGGGGTTCCAATTCTCTGTTTGCCATGTTCCTGACATAGTATACACAGAGGTCCTACAATAAACATAAATGTCAAATTTATTTATTTTCCTTTTTCTTTTTGTGCTGCCCAACCTTCAAGGTTGACCAGCACAAAAAGAATAAAAGAAACTAATTCAATTCACACAAACCATAAAAAAAATTCAAAACAACCCCTCTCCCACCCAATTTAATGAAATTAAATTTGGATTTTCTCCCTATAATACAAAATCCATCTAAAAAAAAAATTCTCAAATTTGAACTATACACCCATCAACGACGGGTACACATTTATTAAATAAATAAATAACTATACTAATAATAAATAAATATGCTACTAAATAATACATAAATATACTTATTTATTTTTATTTGTTGACAGACCCCAACCATAGGCCTTTTTTGGAGCGAACGGCTGGATCGATTTTTAAGTTGATGGCTCAAATTATTCGGTGAGATTCCACAGTGTTTTGAAATAATTTGAGTTATAAAAAATACTGACCCGTTAGTAATAAAATTCGTTAAATCTATTTAAATTCTGGCTAATTACTGTGTAAAGTGTGTTTAATCAATTTGCTGAAAAGGTACGTATATTTTGAACTGATGGCTTGACCAGTTTTTAACTTTGACGGCTGTAATTACTCAGTGAAATCTCGTGAATGTTTTGACAAAATTTGAGCACAAAATACTGAAAAACATTTTTATTATAGTTTAAGTATCTTGATTATTAATTTATTTGAAATGATATCATGTGATCATATCGACGGCAGCATGTTAAAATAACGAATAGCATGCTAAAGCAACGTTGGATAGGCTAAGCATCGTTATTTTAACATGGTACCGACGATATGTTATGAAAATATGTTATATTATGTTATGTATGTTAATATTTAAATGATAAAAAATGTTAAAGTAAAAAATATTTAAATTAACAAAAAAAATCTACTACAGAAATAGGAAAATTCTATTTACCCTAAGGGAATTTACTTCCATATTCACTTAAATATCTTAGTAGATTTATAGGAAAACTGACATAAAACAACATTTAAACTTGTTGTAATAGTTGGGTGCCTACCACCCCCGAACAAAACTCAAGACTTTCGGATATTTACTTGCATCGATAGATGAAATCTGTTTACCTGAAGCCGTAATGTATAGATAAATTGAAAGGTACCAGACCACTACACCAAGTTTAAATATTCGTAGATGTCAATTTCCATATCAGTCTACCAAAATGTTTAAGTGAATATGGAAGTAAATTCCCTTAGGGTGGATAGAATTTTCCTATTTCTGTAGTCGAATATTTTTTTTTTTAATTCAAATATTTGTTTACATTATTTATTTTTACCTGAAAAAGTTCTAGAAATGTATCAATCTTATGAAGGCTGCCTCTCCTTCCCTTCCCATGTTTTTAATAAAAACAAATACGTCATATATTCAATTTTTTTTTCTAGATATTTCCAAGTATGTATAATTAATAAAAAAAAAAAAGTCCAATTATACAAACACATTAATTTTAAACACTCAATATTATATTTGCTCGTTTCACGATAATTATGTTGAATTTTAACACATAGAAAAACTGCAGCCATTTGTTTGTTTTTTTTGTCCATCGCTTCCATCCCCCTAATCAAAATTGAAAGTCTGCTCCTATGACCCCAACCATTGTTCTCTTCAACTTGAGAAAGCATTGAAAATTTTATACATCACTTCACAGAAAAAATCTATGAATCCTTTGCATTATTTAGGCGAGATAACCAGAAATAAAACACAGTTAGGAAGCAATATCCTACAAGAAAATACCTGGAATATTTCTTAGTTAAAAATAAAATTAATTCTAACAAGCTTTATGTTTATTTATTTATTTACATTGCGTTAGTAGAATTCTAACTCTATATCAAGTTAGTTGGCCAAGCTTTGTATTGTTAAATAGATTCTTTTACTTTACAAAACAAAATAAAAATTTGGTTTTTTATCGTGAGCATAGACATGCGGCGCACCCATACAATTATGACACCCTCTCTTTAGAAAAAATAAACCTACAAGATTATTTTGGCTCGTAATGTGTTTAAGAAAAAACATTTTAAACAAAAATTATTTGTTTGGTCATAGGTAATTGTATTTGTTTTAAACCTCAATTAATTAACCATACTATGTGAGATTGTTTGGAATTTTTCTTAAAAACTATACAAGTGAAAGTAGAGCAAGTCTATTTTCATTTGGAAATTTTCTAAAGCTGTTAAAGCTTTGCTGAGAATCGCAACGTCGCATTACCGAAATGCCGAATTATTGGAGGTATATTAAAAAAATATATATATATATATATATATATAATAACATCATATAGTTATATCAATATAAACCATTAAATTAAAATCAACCATTATTATAATATGAAAAAAATAATTTACACAATAAATTAATGCGAAAAGCGCTAAAGAATAAACCACTCCAAATTCAAATTAGAAATGTACTGTTAAATGTAATCCCACACAGCATTTTAATACTTAATTCTATTAAATTAAGCCATAACTAATTAAAACATAGCGGGAATCAATAACGTACGCAGCTTTCATATTCATTAGGGGGGCAATAAGGAAATTCTCGAAAGGATTCCTGCAAAGACAAGGGTTTTTGTCTATTAGAAGGTGAGGACAAAAAACAATAACTGATGACCCAAGGAAGAATTAGTCCTTATCATTCACGTTAATCGTTTACTTATCTTGGTTCTAAATCAGGGATGAGTATACTTACAAGTTTAGATTTTATCTACGAACAGCTATAGCTACTTAATACTGACTAATTACTAATAATTAAGTGATAACTTCAGAGAATGACTAATAACCACTGTCTAACAGTGATAACAATTTATGACACAAATAGTAATCTTTATTGAAATATAATTAATGGTTGGAACTTTCTTCTAATACGTCGTAACGTTTGACATTTAATTATATTGCTGACCTGATTAATCAGAAGGTTTGCTTAGTGAGTTTGTATATATTTTTATATACTGATTAAAACAGCAAAAAAAAAAAAAAAAACATTTAAAATTATACTTTTTTCAAGCATTACTTACTACCACAAACCAAACCTTTCATGTTTTTACAAAAAAAATTGTCAGCATTAATTCATCAGGGAGCAAATTTCAACATTGTTCACTCAAATTAAACGAATCTTTAAAGTATAAAATATACCGTCAGCTATAAAATCCTCAAAGCAAAGGTGCAATACTTCATAAAATCTTGCCAAAGGATTTCTAAATTAAGTTTATTTGTTCGAAAATCTTTTAAATCTTATATAAAAGTACATAAGAATTTTGGAATACCCACCCCCCCCCAAAAAAAAAAAAAAAAAAAAAAATTAAAACTATATATATGCATTTATTTCACTATATGTATGCATCCATTGGATGTCGGGGTTGTAGATATCACATATCCTTTGTGCCATTTGGCTATAATATGCATGACGACATGATTGAATAAAGTAATTGGTGGTTATGACCCAGAAAAAATAATTAAAAGTTGCATCATTAATGAATACAAATCTAAAGGATTGTATTCAAAGGGTGAGCTATCATTGTCAGTTCATAAATCTTGGACCAGATTACAAATACAAATTTATGTCATTCCGTAATCAGATAAGTCTAAGTAATTTATATTTGTTATTTAATTATAAATTGAAAATAGTTTTGGAAAAAAAAAGCTACAATAATGTTCTAAAATAAATTATTCTATAAAAAGTAAATGACAATAATATTGGTATGAGAAGAGTAGAAATGGCTGTGACACGCGGAGACTCTTTTACGCAACCGGAACTGGAGAGCTGTTCGTAGGAAGGGCGGGCTGTCAAAGAGGCCGAGGCTCGGTGACAGGATCAAGTATCAATTATGATGATATTTTAAAACTATTTTTACCAATGTAGTGGAATAGCGGTTTAAAAAAATTAGATTGGTTTTAATAATATAATAGGATTTATTATTGTACAATTTAAATGTCTCTTGTTTTTATTTTAGTACTTATAACACAGCGTAATCTTTAATATAATCCTATTAGAGAATTTTCATATTTATATTTGTGGATCTTGGTTATTATTTTTGTTAGTGAAATATATTTTTTAACCTCTGAGTACATATAATCTACTTTATATTGTTGCCTGATATCGGGCCACCAAATCGAACTTAAACTCGGTTGGCAACACTGTCTTCAAGAAAGGATTGTTAGTAGTCTTCCATCTTTCCTGCCATTTAAGTTGGTATTTCAAGCTATAGATTTATGATGTGACAGAGCAGGATTATAGTTTTACTTGAGATATATATATACTTTTACTTAATTCCTTTTATTCAAGTTATTTGTTTAGTATTAAGTGTAGAAGATACTATGGGAGACAGTAAAAGCTTCTTTCAATCATTAAAAATTTTAGAAGCTTGTAGTATAGATAATGATTTTCATGAACTCATTGATAGAGAAACAAGACTAAATATTTTAAAACAGGGGTAAGTTACATTAATTATATTCTTTTAAGAAGTTAAGTTAATTTTCATTTTCATTAATTATTTATTTTTTAATTTTATTTTTTTATAACAGACCTAAAGCTGGACCGCAGTTAATTGTTAAATGCTTGATGAATATTATTACTGATGACATTCTTGGAAGCACTTCACCAAGATGTTCTTACCCTCAAAATGCACAGTGTAATATCTCCGAAATTACATTATCTGCTGTTAAGGCTCTGTCATATTATGGTAAAATATTAGATAAATTGAAATCATGATTTTATGCATGGTGATTAGGTTTTTTTTCAGGATACTAGTTCTGAATCACTTCTCCAAGGTGGAGGTTGGTTTCACAGTCATGTTAAGCAAACTGTTAAGGTACACCCAAGGAATTCTGAAAGTAATAGTGTATTGACAATCATATATTGTTCACTTACAAATGATAGATGTCTCCTAACATATTTTTGTCTGGAATGCGTAATAACCGATTGATTTTTTTTTTTTTTTTTCTTTGTGATAGAAAACTCATTTGTTTTAGATAACATATAATTGTTGCATTGATTATTAATTATATGATATAAGATATGATTAAATGACTGTAACTATAAATTTAACTTTAACTGCATCAGTGCTTCCATTGTATTATTAAATTCCTGGTTTCTCAAGTACCTTTTTGCAATTTTAATAAATTATTTAGTATAGAGTTGGGTACTAGTTCACAAAATTTCAACACAGTTTATGTGTGGTTCACAATCACTTCGGTAACACTTGTTCATGAAGCGCCGAATGCATCCGAGTTTATCCGAAAGAGTGTGAAGGTAACCAATCGCTTTAGTATTCACTAATAACTTCCTCACCATTTAAGTACTTGTATACCCTTGACTACGTTAGTTGAATAGCTTGAGCTGACTTTTATTTGACATTTAGAATACATCATGTAACTTAATTGGGGTTGCTTTTAATGAAAATACTATCTGTTTTGAGATTATAACGGATTGAATTTTTATAACTTTGGATTTATTCTATACAAGGGTCCATGTTCGCGGAGGTGCTTTTTATGAAAATACCGTACTAGCTCACAATAATTATGCTTGGTTCACAATCCCTTTGGTCACACTTGTTCACGGAGTCCCGAATGTATCTGGGTTTATCCAAAAGAGTATGGAGGGGACCGATCTAGTGAGTTTGCTACTAATAATTTTCCCATCATTAAAGTACTTGTTTACTCTTATAGTATATTATATATACCCTTACATATATTATCCATTTGAAGAAAATAAATAGTAATAGAAAAAAACGTTAAGCCATACACAGATGCACATCCCCTCAAGGTCGATGGCGCAAGAACCTATGCCTCCTCTTCCCAAGATATTTTATTGCTCATCTTTTCTAAAAAACAGAGCAGCTAAGGTAGAATTAGAAAAATCATCGATCATATACAATTACATTTGCTGCGATATATTTTTCCTCTTTTCTCTGAGTCCAAAAATTCGTAACTCCATCGAAATTTGCCTCCCTCTAAAATTCAAAAACTCATCAAAATAGGCCCCCTCAAAAATTTTGATGGCGCAACTTGCACCATGAAACCCACTTCTGGACACCCCTAGCACTGGGTATGGTGAATGGGTTGAAAAGGAACGATATAAAGGCCTAGGGTTTTCAAGCATAGGTTCTTATAATTTTTTATAGCTATATATCTCCAACTGTTTTTGTGAAAATAAGCTATTTAATAAAAATACTACACTGTCAAGACTTTATATTTATTGTTATTTAACTATTTATTAACTTAACAGTATAAAATGCATAGAGTCCTGATAAGGTTTCCAAAAAATATTGTTATAGATTGAGGGTATTAGTTCACAAGAGTTCCGCACGGAGTATGCGTGGTTCACAATCACTTCGATCACTCTTGTTCATGGAATTCCGAAAACAGCCGAACGTTGTCGTCTTTTATGAGGTCAGCTATTGCCCCATCATACTATTCCTTTTCATGCATTTTTGCATTCCCTTCATGGAACTTCCTTTTTAGCAATTTATTAATAAATTGTGTATTTACTAATTAGTTAATTATTAATTTTTATTATAACGGTTATCACTGTGAAAGAAAAAGAAAAAAATACATAAAATAATGTTTGAGTCGTTTCTTCAAGGACTGTTAAAAAAAATGCTTTTAGTAATAACATTTTTATTGACACATGCTTACATGTAGTGGCTGTAAATACGCATATACTGTATATTATTTTTTATAGCTGTGTATACAATTTTTTTTTATAATTTGGATAATAAATAATTTGAAGTTATCTATTATCTTTTTATTTGTTATTCGTGTTTTTCAATAGAAGTTGGAATACTTTAGTTTATAATTTATTTTAGTAAGCCTTTTTTAGAATTGCGCAATCGTCTATCTAGTTTATATAATTTTTTAGATTTCTAATAATACGAGGGTCCACTATTTTCTAGTGGGGGGACACTTTGTATGCATATACTGTCTGATTTGAGACCGATCATCAAGTTTATGTAATTTTTTTTTAATTCTTAGATATACGGATCCACTATTTTCTAGTCATTGGAACATTTTATGAATATACTGTTGGATTTAGAATTGTTCATCGATATTTTGTAGATTTTTTGATTTATTAGATATAAGAGTCCACTATTAAGTTGCCAAGGACGCTTTTTATGAAAATAATGTCAGATTAAAGATTGAGCTAGAAAATTGTAGGAAATTAATAAATAAAATGTATGTATCAATTGTTATATAGATAAATATCTATTCCAAGTATGTCCAGTCCCAACGAGACTTGTAAATTTGCCATTTAGTTAACTGTTAACTTAAAATTCATTTCTTCGTTTTAATCGCTAATATTTTTATTGAATGAATTAGCTATGCAATTATTGTTATTCACAGTTATTTTTCTTGGCAATCCGAAAATGGGGATTATTGTAGTCATTGGTACAAAAAAAAAATGTGTTTATTTTCGAGAAAGGAATAAACGTATTGGGGAAACAACTGACAAAGAATATCTGATAATTCCGAGATAATGAATAATGGAAATCATCAATAAGAAAAATAATATCGTGAAATAGCATTCAGAGCTGTAATAATCAAAGGTTTTTATCTATCACTATTTCTTTTTTACAGATATATAATATATGTGGAAGTTCAATTCAGGTTTCATGATGTGTAGCCTAAATTTCGAATGTAAGTCGGCTCCTGCTATATAACTAAACCTAGTTAAGGTTATAGAAGTACTTAAATGGTGGGAAAGAGATCACTACTGGTCTACTGGTCCAAGAGATCAGTCGCCTTCGTTATCTTTCGGATAAACCAGAACGCATTCGGGATTCCATGAACAAGTGTGACCGAAGTGATTGTGAACCATGCGTAATCCATGCGGAACTCTTGTGAACTAGTACCAGATTGAGTCTTCAGACAACATAAGTTTAAGAATCTCTAGTTTAGTGAATAATATGTTTTTTTTTTGTTCTTCATTTTAACTTCATGATGTTACCAATGTTCTTGCTTTATTTAGTTCTATATTATTAAACTTATGCATGATAGTTAATGGAATTGCTATTTTTATGTATTCATAAAAATGTTCATAGGGTTAAGAGATGTTAATTGGATAATCCCTTATGCTGAGGCAGCAAGTTGCAAATTATTGGAAAATAATGGAAAACCTATTCCACAGGTAATTAAATCATGAGTTGATAAAGTATTACATGACATTATTAAATTATAAACATTAATTCAACCTAAAAACATCCTTCAGGTATTGAGTGAGGCTTAGGCTATTTATTTTTTTAATAGTCATAGAAAATAACTTGTTAAAAATGGTACTCACGAAGTATATGTATTGTGATTATCTCCTAAGCCTTCTGCACATGGTGAAGAAGTTAGTAACTTCACAGTTGGCATCTGAAACTGTAACAGATTTAGAGCTGTAAGTTATCAACTTCCTCATGATGTTCAAAAGGTTTCTGAGGTGGTCACAAGAGAATAATTTTTCTACTTAACACTTATAATAGCACACTATTTTATTTTTGTATGTGGGGTATTTTTTGTTAGATCATTTACCTAGAGCATGAAACATTAAAAAAATCGGTGATAACACGAAAAATAGTTAATTATGTAGTCTGGGATCATTTCAATTCTTATTTAGGTCAGTATTTGTTTTGTTTATGTGGTTTTTGCTGGTAAAGAATTGAAATTAGATTTTGTAAAACTCTAGGAATTCAAATCAACATAGTGTCTGAAAATATGAAAACTGACCTAATTCACTTATAATTTGAAGTGATTTCTGACTGCCTAATTGACTATTTTTATTATTTTCAATGTTTTTTAAAAATAACTTTTGATGTGAACATGGGAGAAAAGGGGACAACTTGTCCCGGATCTGGAGGCTCAAGAGATTTCCTATTCTTTCATCACGTTTGAATTTTTTTTCTTTCCTATAAATTTTTCTAAGGTATTAAAATCCAAAAAGTTCTTGAAGTATAAATAAAATTGTTGATTTGAGAAATCATGTACATCACTTTTTGGGAATATTTAAAATTAGACAGATTCATATTCTGTTGAGGTAGACATGTATTTTGGGTGAGATCCCCTTGATTCCAACACATTTTTACTTTCACTTACCTATATATGTATTGAATCCATAACTTCGTTCGGTTTTCGTTAATAGTGCCAAGTATTTTGAAATATCTCCAGTTTTCTATGTCTTATCTCACAATGATACTTATCGTAAACGTCAAAGGCCAGTTTTCAAAACTGTTGTGTTTGGTTTCATTGGTGTTAGTTTTGTTTGTACTACAGCGTTGTGAATATGTCAAATGATGAAGTGCATTTTCAGCATATTTTGCTTTTTTATTTCATAAAAGGTAAGCTAGCTTCAGAGACCCACCGAAAGATATGTAAAGTATATGGGGACAATGCCTTAACAGAATATACTGCTCAAAATGGTTTGTGAAATTTTGTTTCAGAAATACTCGAGGATGCACCCAGCAGCGGTGGGCCTATCGAGTTTGATTCGAGTGATATCAAGGCTCTAATTGAACAAGACCGGTCACTACAAGTACAAGAAATTGTGGAGACACTGAAAATAGATTTTGAAACCGTTCTAAGGCATTTATTTCTCAAAGGAATCATGACGGGTGATGAAAAGTGGATCATCTACGACAATGTAGTGTGCAGGAGATCGTGGACAACTTCTGACAAGTCGTCTAATGCCATGCAGATCCTACATTCGAAAAAGAGTTTGCTCTGCTTATGGTGGGATCATGGTCTACTATTTTATGAGTTGCTTCCACTAGGAAAAACGATTGATTCAAAGATCTGCTGGACACAAGTAATGAAGTTGAACCAAACATTGCGACAGAAACACTCAAAACTAGTCTTTCTTGAAGGAATTGTATTCCAGGATGACAACACCAGACCACTCTCCGCAATAATCACACAGCAAAAGTTAGTGCAACTTTTTTTTTTTCCTTTATTGGAAAACCTACCCACCATTTCTGGTATACGGGAGGTGAGGGTCAAGTTTCATTCTTTGATCCATCACGAAATAAAAGTCAACCCCTCCCAGGCCGGATTCGAACCGGCGTCGCTAGGCAGGAGGATGCTAGAATGGGCAGCGCTCCAACACACATGGCCATCGCGACCTTAAAGTTAGTGCAACTAGACTGGGATGTTTTATTACACCCACCATATTGTCTGGTCCTTGCATCATTCATCTACTTATTCCATTCCCTCCAAACCTCCCTCAACAATTAATCTTTCCACTGATGAGAGAGATGTAAAAATGTATCTACATCAGTTTTTCCTTCTATGCCTCTGTTGTTTTCTGAGAGCAGAATAATAAAATTATTAGAAAGATGGCAAGAGGACATTAATATAAACAGTGAATACATTATTGAATAAAATTAATTCAATTAAATTCAGTAAATTTTAATGTTTTTCAATATAATGTAGGTATTATTCTTATTGATGTTCTCCGTCAGGGCTTATGTGCCTAATTTTCAAAAGTTCTTCCTCTAAAGTACCTTTAAGTTTTTTAATTTGAAATAATTAATCATTTCACATTGTAACCTGATATAAAAAATGGTCAAGTATGAAAGAATTCAATTGTTATCTAAAGGAGAAGTAACCTAATATAATTCATTATTAATAAAGAACCAATGAAACCCGAGTGCACAGCAAAGCTTGGCCGAAGGTTAGAACAGGCTTCTAAACATAAGCATGTGCAGTTTTCATAAATGCTAGCATTGGTATTATCTAATATTTAATTGTATAAATCACAGCAGTATAAAAATTAAAATGAAATGTATAAATTTAGTGGCTTCATTATCAGTGGCACATATGCCATACTAAAAATATTTCGTGACACTTGATTATTTATTATAATAAAATAGATGATTCAAATATTCAATCATAAAAGACAATGGTTAACGAAGAAACACCATAAGTATAATACATTAGACGGCTATGAAAAATATGCGGTAATTAGTTGTTTCAAAAAATATTGTGTACCGCTTTTGATGTTTACTTTCTCTTCTCTTTAAAAATATCTATTTCTCCTAAAAGAAGGGTGGTAAGTGAAATTTGTGTGATATACTCACTGCACCAGATTTCTGGTATCTTATAGTGGTGGCTAGTTACCATTTAGTTGAAGAACATCTTAGGTTAATTAAAAACTCAATGACTTTCTCTTATCAACAAGCTCAGTCGTTAGTTACTGGGCACTGAGTCCACAACTTATACTTCAGTTTCTTGTTCAGAGGAAACTTTCTTTTGCCATGTCTCCATGATGCATACAGCTCATTCAAGCCCAGACAAGGGACTAATGAAAACCATAAATTTCATTGGAGGACTCATCTACATATGAGCTATAAGTAGATGCAAATATCATATCTGAACTTCCAACTACCAGCAAATAAAAGCTACCGGTAGAGGAAAAAATAAGGATATCTGAAAATTCAGACCATAACTGTCAGATAATCAACAAATTTCAAAGTTTTACAAAGGTATTTACCACTTGTCAGAGTAAAGAAAATAACTTCATTATGATTCTGTAACTTCAGAAACTGACGATTATAGTCTGAATGTATTTCTGTAATCATAATTTCATTTCTGTTTAAATGATGTTGATAATTTTATCATTCTTTTTTTTTTTTTTTTTTTTGTAATCATTAATTTTCTACATTTTCATAAACTTGATAGTATATGGACCGAGGAGCACCAGCTTACTGGAGAATTCATTATAAAAGAGGAGAAAGACAGCTTTATAATGTATAATGCCGAATGAGATATCATTGATTTAATAATTTTGTGATGAAAAAGATGAAGAAAAAAAAAACTTATTTTAGGACAGATATAGTATTATGTTATATAATTTTCAGATGCAATATTTTCTTTGTAGCAGCCCATCAATTTTTCTGATAAATTGTTTGTTTTAAAATTATTTCTTTTCTGCATATTTTCATTCAAATGAAATCTATTAATTCTAGTTAAACAGATCAAGGGAGGTGACCCTAGCTGATAACGTTTTGGCTATATAAATAGACAACTTTTAATTATTTAAAATACTCTTATAATTTCTTATTTAGGAATATGAAAGTTTGTTGCCATCTTTACTTCAATAAGAGTAAAATGTCTTAATAGTGATGTGTTATTCCATCTAGATAACATAACATATCACTATTAATAGTTGGTAACACCAAAAATAAGGATAACATTTCTTATTGTTAATGAAGTTATATTTTAGAAAATCAATAATTTAAAGTTTTAAAAGTAACATTTTAGTAATTTAAAAGTTTTAATGTGTCCATGTATACATTTTTTTTTAACACTAATAAATCCTATTAGAAAAGATTTTTAATTATTTACATTCCATAACTAAAATTTTTCAATATCTAATTTTAATATTATTTTTATTTTCACTTACCTATGTATGTAATATATAGTAAGGGGGAAAGTTGTGATCGTGAAAATTTTCGAATCTGAGTTTTCAATGAAAATACATGTTTTGAGGTCCACTGAGTTGAAATAACCAAGTCCCGCAAAATGGTGAGTGTGTGTGTGTGTGTGTGTAAAGAGCCTAGCTCAAAAATGAAAAATCGTACAAAACTGAAATTGCGTACATGAGGTTTGTAAATGGCTCAAATGTAACAGCAACTTTTTCGTTAAAATCGGCTAACCAGAAATGCCACTTAATATCATCGATTTTACAAATTTTTACAATTTTCTCGAAAACTGCTCTAACGCTTTTGATTAAACTTGGTGTATCAATATATAATTAAGTAATCTTTAATATAATTTAGGTATTATTCCTATTGATGGTGCTTAACAGGGATTAATTAAATGGACAATGTTAAAAATGTCTTCCTCTAAAGTTCTTTTGATTTGTTTTAAATTAATCTCATAAAATAATACATCAGAAGGTATTAGATCATGGTACAGACTCTTTCTTATCAAATTATTAACATCCCGCTGAAACTTCGTAAATAACTCCATTTCATCGTAACTTACAAATATTTTATTTATGAAAATTCTGGAAATTGGGGCGGTTTCAATCTGGAGTTTGGTAAACCTTGTCTATTTAATTAGGTACTAAAAACTCGTAAATACCCATTTGCAGCAGAGCGTAACTGAGTCAGTTTCCAAAACCAAACCAGCTTCTAAAACCAATTTTAA